TGCTGAACTGTAAGGTTAGCTTCATACGTTAACCACAGCTCAAAGGTCCCTTCCTACTCTACCAGGGGCCAGTGGTGGGTCTTTGAATAAAACACACAACATGTTGAAGTTCTGTGTTCTTGCCTCTTGCGTGGGGAGTTAGACGTTTTTTCTCTATAAAGTACCGCATAAATAGTAAGTAGTAATGGTAATTGTAAACTACTTTTTTTTCACATCTCAGGTACCCAAGAAACGTCTGATTTAATGTCACCGAGCAAACGTAGCTCTCAGAAGTACATAATAGAGGGGCTGACTGAAAAATCATCCCAGATAGTGGACCCTTGGGAGAGGTTGTTTAAGATTTTGAATGTCGTTGGAATGAGATGTGACTGGCAGATGGATAAAGGAAGACGGTACAAAACTGTTCATTTCTAAGATTGCATAACAAATCTTTTGATAGCATACTCTCTATAAAACAAAACACTTTTTTCTAAAAGCATATAATGTATAGGTACACGTCTGTCTGGGCAAATTCTGTAACACTCAGTATTTATGCAAAAGAGTGTGGTTTTTCACTTTATTAAAAGATTCCCAGCGGAAGTATGAACTCTTAAGATGATGTTGAGCTTGAAACACTCCTTGGTGTTTAGAGGAAAGAGAAGCTACTTGGCATGTTTGTGTCATGAACTCTTGGCCTGTTGCTACTCTAATTCAGAAGAGGAATTTGCATCCATATGCAGACAATGAAGAATAGTTTTACATGCCTAGAGCCACATTTGGTAGTTGTAATGGTTCTATTGGAGCTTTTCTCTGGTAGACCTTTTGCTGACAAGACCAAAGTAATTAAATAATTTTTATTGTCCTTCACCTTTCAGAAGCTATGGTGATATTTTGCATAGAATGAAGGATCTCTGCAGATACATGAACAACTTTGATAACGAAGCTCATGCAAAATATAAAAACCAAGTGGTTTATTCCACTATGTTGGTCTTCTTTAAGAATGCATTTCAGTATGTCAACAGCATACAGCCGTCTCTATTCCAAGGTTGGTTTAAGAATTTTAGAGTGTCTCAAAATACTGGCCTCATTGGGGGTGGTGAGGAAGATGAAAATGTTTACCTTAACATTGTTCTTGGATCCAAATAATTGCGGGGTGATGCCAGAGCTTTCATTAGTTGTTGATTTTTATGTAAGTAAGTTTTCATTAAAAACTTATATATCAAAGGATGTAGTGGTACTGTGAAACTACAGATATTGAATGCCTCTGTTTTAAAAAAGCAGCAGATGTAGCTAAGTACTGAAGTCGATTTCACAATGACTTCTCAACAGACAGAGATTTTTAAAATAAGATGTATGCATATAAATTCTAGAAAATGTGAAAAACAGGAAAACTACAGGGTGAAATCACCCACAATACTTCCAGTATAACGCAGCTCCCATTTTTGTGTATTGACTATAGTGTTTCATGTATTTAGATTTGTTTGGAATTTATAACAATAATGTATGTGTGACTTGGTAGTTTTTCTTTTTTTGGTAATTTTATGCTTCGTGATCATTTTAAAAAATTGATAGATAACATAAGAACACATACAAAGAGGGAACTTTCCCTTATCCACCACTGAGAAAGAACCTTTATTAACAATTTGGTTTATATCTGTACAATTTTTCATTTCTGTATATGTATACTTATTTGTTTACCTAATTGGGATGATACTGAACGTATTTTCACACGATGGTTGAGTAAATTTCCACCTGATATTAAGTACTGTTTTCCTTGCTGCATTTTTAAGTGTTGGTGTTTTCCCTCCATCCACAGGTCCTAATGCCCCTAGCCAAGTTCCACTGGTTCTTCTGGAGGACATATCAAATGTATATGGTGATGTAGAAATTGATCGCAATAAACACATACATAAAAAGAGGAAACTAGCTGAGGGAAGAGAAAAAACCATGGTAATTCTTTCAGATATAATTGTTAACAGATTATATGTTTATGGTTTGCTAGAAATGAATCTTTGTAAAACATGGCTCTGGAGCTAAATTGATAAAGCTTAGGTCTTTTAATTATACAATATAATTACTATATAAAATCAGTGGTTCTCAACTAGAGGTGATTTTGCCCTCTGGGTTATTTGACAGTGTCCGAGGACATTTTTGATGGTCATGGCTCAGTGGGGAGGGGGGGTTACTGTTAGTATCTAGTGAACGGAGGCCAGGGATGCTGTTAAACGTACTCCTGTGCACAAGGAGAGCCCCACAGCAAAGAGTTATCCAGCCCCAAAGGCCGCTAGTGCTGAGGCTGAGGAACCCTGGTATAAGTCATTTATACCTGTTTGACTTAGTGCCATCGATTAAATTTAAAAAGCAAAACCAAATAAACTACCTTGGACATGTAGAGCGGGGTGCCGAGGGGCACTGGCCACCGAACAGGGAGTTCTTAGGCCATCGGGGTAGGAAGTCATAACCCGAGGGGAGATGTTGGAAAGGTCCCATGAAGGAGGTTGGCATTTGACGCCAGCCTCGTAGGGTTTTGTTGTTTGGAATTAGGAAGTAGATTTTGTTAAGAGGGGGCAGCTTGCACAAAGATGCAGGAAACCAGAGAGAGTGAACCATCAGTCTTCTGGTCTGGCCTGCTGGCAAGCCAGTGCCCAGCGCTGATTTTCAAACTCTTTTTAAGCAGAGGAATCCTTTCTTTCAAGGAACACTTTTGTGGAGGCCCGTCATGTAATGTGACAGTGGGGATGCTCTCGGGGAGGTCTCAGCAAACTTTGTCCTGTAAAATGCCAGGTGGTGAATGTTTCAGGCTTTGCAGGCCATGCGTCTCCATTGCAGATACTCAGCTCTGCTCCTAAAGTGCAGAAATAGCCACAGACAGTGGAAGACAGCAGGGTTTGTCCTGCAGGGCATAGCGTGCCAGCCCCTCCTCTGGTGGAAGTGTGAGGGCAGCCAGGAGTCTCACCCACCTTCTGTCCCCTCTTCTCTCCGCCTTTCAGTCTCTTACCTGCTCTTCTTCAGCCCTTGGGTAACATTTAACGAGAACCTGGCTTAATGAGAGACAGGTCTGAAAATCAGTTTAATCTGACGTCTCCAAGGTTCTGGAGTATAAAATGGTTTGGAGTGGGAAGACGTGGCCCATTCTGAATGTGCGTGTAAGGGTATTAACCCTTCTGAAAAACTAGTTTGTTTCCTTCCACAGAAGAATGCTCAACATGCACAATTTTGCTTTGAAGCCCAACCCTGAACCCCAGGCTGAGATCTCCATGCTAACCAGGCTTTCCCAGATGCCTCTGTCTGCTCTTTCGTTCTTTCCTGACATTCCCAGGCGAGGTAGCTCTGGTCAGCTCTCCCTTCTGCTTTCTGAGGGTGTGTGGTTTCACAGTAAGACCACAGACACCTCTCCCACCCATGTAGTTGGTAGGTTGTGTGTTCCTAGTCTCAATGAAAAGCAGTGGCCTGTCATTCAGTGTATGTAGCGTAGCCGCGCCCTGCGTTTCTCTCCATCCCTCCCACCTCCTTCCTGTCCAGGCACCGTGGCCTCTGCCCCTGCTCACCCGAGTCATCATCCTCACTCCCTGCTCACACTCTTGCCTCCCACAATCTCTCCTCTCCCCAGCAGCCTTAGTGACCTTTTTACAATGTGAGTCAGACATGGCTTCTGCCTCTGGTGGCTCCACATCACTCTAAGAATAAAATCCAGACTCTTTCCTTTGGCTTCAGAGCATGCACTGAGCCACCCTCGGTGCTGCAGACACACTGGCTGCCGCTGCTCCTGCCTGGGCCCCGGCGCAGCTCGTAGCCACGCTCCGGGGCGGAGTGCCTTTCTGTGCCTGGCTGGGTCCCATCGAGCAGTGCTCAGCCCAGAGCTGAACTCTCTCCCACAGGCTGCCTCCAAATGGCCATCAGTTTTCTCTTTTTATTACTGTATCTTAATTCTGCATAGCCCTTATTGCTATTTATTTTTCATTCTTTCTTGGTTGGTTGGTTTGCTGTCCATGTCCCTTCACCAGAGTACAAGCTCCACGGGGCCAGTGACAGTGTCTGGGCATCCATTCGAATGGTGCCTGCGCCCCAGCAGGCCTTCGGTGAGCTCTGGTGCGCGAGGGGATTCACACATGCCCTCCCGGGTGTGGGTCCGGGCAGTGGTACAGCTGTTTAGCCTCTGGCCCATCCGTTCCTCCTTCCATCCTTCACTCGTCGTGTGCCGTCTAGCAGGCTCTGCTCTCATGCTGTGGCCCTCCAGGCAGTCTGGGGTCTCCGTCCCACTGCCTGCCCCACCCAGTGCAGGTCCAACCAGGTCTGTTTGTCCCATTGTGACAAGGGACATACCTGGTGGCCCATGAGCTCAGTTCACAGACCTGTCTTGTTTTACTCATAGTGTTTTGTTTTCTTACTAACCTAGCACCTAAAACTTGGAAGCTTTCTCTCACTATCCAGATGTCTGACTTCCCTTTAATAATTGGTGTCTCTGATAATGCTGGCCCTTGTGGAGGCCCACCCCTGCAGTGGGGTGGACATTCTCCCCGCAGCCTAAGTGCCTGCTCACGTGACTGGCCAGGCAGCTGGAGCTGGGGGCAGTCTTCCCTGTGGGCAGGGTGTTCCCACCACATACACTTGTGTACCTTCCCAGAGGTCAGGACTCCTTGACCTCTGCTTCAGAGCATCCCTGCAGAGCCTTAGAGTGCATTTCTGTATTTCGAAATCAATTTCTCTAAATTTTACAGACTGTTTGGAACTCCACACTATCCCCACCACATCTGAGGCCCTTCCAGAAACTCCTGATCTCATTTTGAGGCAGGAATGTGTTCCATGAGTTGCCACGGTGATGAACACACCATTCCTATTACTATATCTCACTAGATCGCCCACGTGTGGCCCACATGTGGCCCCGATGAGCTAGGATGCCTGACAGATGGGTTTTGGTTTTGAAAGGAATTGGGGGGTGTGTCATTACTAGGGGGCTAAGAATATGAAGCTAACTAGGGTGGGACGGGGAGGGTCCCCAGCTGTCAAGGAATGGGGAGAAAGGTGGGTAGTGGGAGGGAGGTGCCAATTTTTTCTGAGTTTAGCTTGAGGATTGGAGCTTTTTTTATTTTAACTATAGTTGTTTTACAATGTTGTGTTAGTTTCAGGTGTACAACTTCAGATTCTTTTCTATTCTACGTTATTACAAGATATTGAATATAGTTCCCTGTGCTGTGCAGTAGGTCCTTGTTGGTTATCTATTTTATATATAGTAGTTTTTAACTATTAATCCCATACTCCTAATTTATCTCCCCCCGCCCCCCCTTTCCCCTTGGTCACCATAAGTTTGTTTTTTATATCTGTGAGTTTGTTTCTGTTTTGTAAATAAGTTTATTTGTGTCTTTTTTAGATTCTACATACAAGTCATATCATATAATATTTGTCTTTCTCTGACTTACTTCACTTAGTATAATAGTCCATCCATTGTTGCTGCAAATGGCATTATTTCATTCTTTTTTGTGGCTGAGTAGTGTTCTATTATACATATATACCACATCTTCTTTATCCATTCATCTGTTGATGGACACTTGGGTTGCTTCCATGTCTTGACTATTGTGAATAGTGCTGCTATGAAGATTGGGGTGCATGTATCTTTTCCAATTAGACTTTTCATCTTTTCCACATATATACCCAGGAGTGGGATTGATGGATCATATGGTAGCTCTACTTTTAGTTTTTTAAGGAACCTCCATACTGTTCTCCATAGTGGCTGTACCAATTTACATTCCCACCAACAGTGCAGGAGGGTTCCCTTTGCTACACACCCTCTCCAACGTTTATTATTTGTAGACTTTTTAATGATGGCCATCTTGACCAGTGTGAGGTGATACCTCATTGTAGTTTTGATTTGCATTTCTCTAATAATTAGTGTTGTTGAGCATCTTTTCACGTGCCTGTTGCCATCTGTATGTCTTGTTTGGAAAAATGTCTGTGTAGGTCTTCTGCCCATTTTTTGATTGGATTGTTTGTTTCTTTGATATTGAGCTGCATGAGCTGTCTGTATATTTTGGAAATTAATCCCTTGTTGATCACATTGTTTGCAAATATTTTCTCCCAGTCCGTTGGTTGTCTGTTCATTTTGCTTATGATTTTCTTTTTTTTTTTAAACATCTTTACTGGAGTATAATTGCTTTACAATGGTGTGTTAGTTGCTACTGTATAACAAAGTGAATCAGCTGTACATGTACATATATCCCCATATCTCCTTCTTCTTGCATCTCTCCCTCCCATCCTCCCTACCCCACCGCTCTAGGTGGTCACAGAGTACGAGCTGATTTCCCTGCAGTATGCAGCAGCTTCCCACTAGCTATCTGTTTTACATTTGGTAGTATATATATGTCCATGCCACTCTCTCACTTTGTCTCAGCTTATGCATCCCCCTCCCCGTATCCTCAAGTTCGTTCTCTACGTCTAGGTCTTTATTCCTTTCCTGCCGCTAGGTTCTTCAGAACCACTTTTTTTTTTTTCATATTCCATATGTATGTGTTACCATACGGTATTTGCTTTTCATTCTGACTTACTTCACTCTGTATGACAGACTCAGGGTCCATCCACCTCACTACAAATAACTCAATTTCGTTTCTTTTTATGGCTGGTAATATTCCAGTATATATATGTGCCACATCTTCTTTATCCATTCACCTGTCAATGGACATTTAGGTTGCTTCCATGTCCTGGCTATTGTAAATAGAGCTGCAATGAACATTGTGGTACATGACTCTTTGAATTATGGTTTTCTCAGGATATATGCCCAGTAGTGGGATTGCTGGGTCATATGGTAGTTCTATTTTTAGTTTTTTAAGGAACCTCCATACTGTTCTCTATAGTGGCTGTATCAATTTACATTCCCACCAACAGTGCAAGAGGCGTTCCCTTTTCTCCACACCTCCTCCAGCATTTTTTTGTAGATTTTTTGATGACGGCCATTCTGA